CGACGACTTATATCCTATAATATTTACATTCCCATTAACAACACTTTGCCACCCTAAATGTCCTATTAAAAAGCCCCTTGGTTAAAACATGATTTTTTTTTTTAATTACCCTAAAGTTAAATTGTAATATAATCCAGTTTTGCCTCAACAACCCCATGTTCTTTCAGTTAGGACACTAACTTTCATTTAGCACGCATTGTGCTGCTCACTGCTGGTGGTAGAACTCTGGAAAGTATGAATTCTAATGAAGTGGGCGGGGTTAGTCGCACTGAGACCGGCCCCTAATAGATCGATGCTGCCAACGACCAATGGGGTGTGAGTAGTATTTTTCAGCAGCCAATCAGAGTGGAAACATGTGTTTAGACGCCGTGCACTGCTCTGAATCCGACACGAGTGTGTAGGTTGGTTGTTGTCAGATTGTGCACTGAAGAATTGGCAGCAGCCCATACAATGTAGTTCTTTACTAGGCCAAGTGGAATAAGCCGTTTAGGACGGCGCATACAAATTTATATGGTTTTACACACAGAAAAAATAACGCATTTTGTTAAAGTAATTAGTTTGGGAAAACTTCACTATCATCACAAAAGAAAGTTAGCTGACTAGCTAGCGAGTGCGCTAAAGCAAAGTATTTGCACACAAACTTTATTTTTTGACGGCTACGTCGGACGAAAACCTTTGCTGGAGTATCAGCTTTAGGTAAAAGCTGGAGTTTGCGAGATTCGTGAACTTTTTAAAGACTTTTTAAAGCACAAAGCGACTGTGGGAATGTCGTGTCGGAGTGGAGTGTCCCGGGTGGGTAATCAAGGACTGCAGCCCCTCCGAGCCACGGTCCCGTTTCAGCTGCAGAACCGACCAGCACCGCGCTGCAAAGACACCAGACCAGGTAAAAACCACAAGAAACACGCAAAAGCACTTTATAAAGCCATGGCGTTTATTTACTAATATGCCCAACTGTCCTATCCATTCTAACTGCTTCTTTGTTAGGTAACGTTATAATAATAATAATATTGATCATGTTAATATTGTGAATGGATAATCTGCGGAAGTCCTGTAGTTTAGCTGCTCTTTTCATGGCTTAGGTGCAACAGTGTTCAAGAAATTTTCCCAGAGCACTGAACGACCCCCACCTTATTCCCTACATGTTTAGTGGCCCTGGTGGTCACAAAGCATGGCATGGGAGAGACTAAACATAGCAGGTCTGTCTATTAAGTCACTTTTTATGTCTCTTTTAGATGTTATTGTTTGCCTGCAGTATTTTATAAACTCTCATCACTGTTTTGGCATGTTCAGCACATAAACAGTGTGTGTCCAGTGCTCAAGAGGTCTGTTTTGCTTCAATTTAAATAATCTGCAGGCACCATCAGGAAAAACAAATCACAATTGTCACATTACTGCGACCTGCTGTTATATATTAACATGTCAAATTTGGAAACAGTTCTTGCATTGTTTTTGTGTTGCTCAAGCATTTTACTATACAGATCTAGTATAAATGCAGGTTTATTATCATAGATCGGGGGTCTTCAACCTTTTTCAGGCCCCTTTGGTTGGTAGAGAAACAAAGCAGGGACCCACTGTTAAAAACTCAGTAAATTTGAGTGTTACATATTGAACTTGGTCGATAATAACGTGTATTATACAATATTAATGCATTTACATGCTATATGATGGTTATGTTTCAAATCCTTTAATTTGATCATTATTAGGGTTGCAAAAAGGTGGAAAATTTCCAATAAATTTCGGAAACATTCCAGAAATTTTGGAAACTTTCCATGATTTTTTGGGAATATTCCAGGGATTTTTGTAAAGTTTCCAGAAATTTACCGGAAATTTTTCACCCCTGTGCAACCCTAATCCTTATTGATTGACAGAGTTGTATACTTATGCATTGCATTTTAATTATTTAATACATTTTATCATGATAATTTTGCTTCACCAGGAGTAGTTAGACTGACATTGAAAACCCTTGTCTTATATGAT